GATTAGCGATTAGGAGAGATTGGACAAACTTGGTGCGTTTTCACTTGAATGTCGGAGGCTGAGGGAGCGATCTGATAGAGGTTTACAAAATAACGAGAGGCACTGGAATAGAAAGGATGGTTGGAGTCTGTTTCCCAGGGGAGAAATGTCAATTACTGGAGAACAGAGGTTTAAGGTGATGGGGGGGTAAGTGTAAAGGAGGTGTGAGAGGCAGGTTATTTTACACAGAGGGTGGTAAGTGCCTGGAATGTGCTGCCAGAGGAGGTGGTGGATACAATAGCAACGTTTAAGAGGCAGGGAATAGAGGGATATGGGCAGTCTAGAGGCAAAAGGGTTTTAGTTTAGAATGGGATCATGTGTCACACAGACTTGATGGGCTGAAGGGCCTGTTCCGGTGTTGCACTGTTCTTTCTGTTCGTGAAGGACATAGATATAGATTAAGTGGCTAAAGGGATTGAGAGATATTCACGATATCTCTATCCATATCTGGGAACACGAGCCCCTATACCCCCTGCCTATCTCTGTAACCTCCTCCAGCCCCTACACCCTTCCCTATCTCTGTAACCTCCTCCAGCCCCTACACACCCTCCCTGTCTCTGTAACCTCCTCCAGTCCCTACACACCCTCCCTGTCTCTGTAACCTCCTCCAGCCCCTACACCCTTCCCTATCTCTGTAACCTCCTCCAGCCCCTACACACCCTCCCTCTCTCTGTAACCTCCTCCAGTCCCTACACACCCTCCCTGTCTCTGTAACCTCCTCCAGTCCCTACACCCCCTCCCTAACTCTGTCACCTCCTCTATCCCACTATACCCCCTCCCTATCTCTGTAACCTCCTCCAGTCCCTACACCCCTTCCTATCTCTGTAACCTCCTCCAGCCCCTACACACCCTCCCTCTCTCTGTAACCCCCTCCAGCCCCTACACCCCCCCCTATCCCTGTAACCCCCCCCAGCCCCTACACCCCTCCCTATCTCTGTAACCCCCTCCATCCCCTACACCCCTCCCTATCTCTTGTAACCCCCTCCAGCCCCTACTCCCCCAATGATCTCCAGTCCTGATCGGAGTGATTCTCTCGCTGACCCCTCCCTACCTCCCCGATGATGTTCCTCTGGATGTTGTTGGAACCAGGAATGGTTGCTTGACCTGACTCCGTTCTTTCTCCTTTCTGACAGCTGACAGTGCAATGTTGAAATGGTTTCCCGAGATCATTGCATGTGGACTGATCGTCATCCTCTTTATCCTACTGCTGCTCTGTTTCCTGTGTAAGTATTATCCCCATTTCCTGAGTCAAAGTCTCACCCTCTGCACTCTTCCCCCATCAAACACTCCCACGACACACACAACATGGGGTTCCATACAGAGTAAAGCTCCCTCTACACTGTCCCACCCATCAAACACTCCCAGGACAGGGACAGCACGGGGTTAGATACAGAGTAAAGCTCCCTCTACACTGTCCCCCCCATCAAACCCTCCCAGGACAGGGACCGCACGGGGTTAGTTACAGAGTAAAGCTCCCTCTACACTGTCCATTGGGTTCTTGGTATATTCCAGGCACTGTTGGTTCCTGCTCAGAATAATGTTTTATTCTTGTTTCCTTGAACAGAAAAAGGTTCGATGCTGCTTCGACCCTGCGCTGTCTTTGACAAAGACTAGATTTTCCTGTCGATGGACTGCTGAATATTTTAAAGCCATCTTCGATCTCCTTGACCCCATCAGCATTGACCAGGTCTTTCATGATTGAAAACTGGATGAATGTTGAGGGTCTGCCATGAGGTATAGATAGAGTGGACAGCCACAGACTTTTTCCTAAGGTGGAGGTAGCTATTACGAGGGGGCATAGTCTTAAAGTGAGTGGAGGTAGATATTGGGGAGACGTCAGAGGTAGATTCTTTTCTCAGAGAATGGTCGGGGCGTGGAATGCATTGCCGGAGAGGGTAGTGGAGTCGGCCTCATTAGGGGCATTTAAGCGGCTATTAGATAGGCATATGCATGATAGTATAAGGTAGGGGTTGAGGTTAGATAGACCTTAGGTTTAGGGTAAAAGTTCGGCACAACATCATGGGCTGAAGGGCCTGCACTGTTCTGTGTACTATGCTCTATAAGTACGGGCGCAGAATTCCAAATAAGTGACTGGAGAGCTCATGTACTCTCAGACAATCCGCTGATGCCTAATCCCGGATTTAGAGAAAGCTAATTTTAGGTTCGACTGTGTAAAACCAGAACCAAAGGTGGCGATTCTGCCCTTCACTGGTGCTCTGATTCTTTGTGTTTCTAATCTCATCCTCCCTTCCCCCTGCACAACAATAGTACATTCCCCACCACACTCAAAATATTGAATGACATTCCCTCCATCCACTCTCCTCTGGGGCAGAATATACCTCCTCATCTCTGTCCTATCAAAGTCTCACCTAATTTACGACTTCAGTCACATTCATCTGGAAGTTCATTGGGTAACAGCGAAGACAAATGGAATATTGGTCTTTGTTTTAAAGGGAATGTGGTGTGAAAATCGGGAGGTTTCGCGAAATCTGTAACAAGCCCTAGTCAGGCAACAGCTGGAATACCATGAACAGGTTTGGGGCCCCATATCCAAGCAAAGATAGACTGAGCTTTGGAAGCAGTCCGGAGAAGGTTCACTCGGCTGATCCCAGGGATGGAGGGAATGTCTTATGAGGGAGAGGTTGAGTCTGTCCTCATTGGAGTTTAGAAGAATAAGAGGTGACCTTATTGAAGCAGACAAGATTCTCCAGGGGAAATTGACAGGGGAGATGTGGAGAGGTTGGTTCCCCTTGTGTGGGAGAGTCTAGGACCAAAGGGGCATCATCTCAGAATAAGGGGTCACCCAATGAAGACAGAGATGAGGAAGAATTCCTTCCCTCTGAGGGGAGTGAATCCATGGAATTCTTTACCACAGAGGGCTGTCATGGCTGGGTCATTCAGTATAGTCACGGCTGAGATCAGTTTTTAATCAGAACACGGGAAATCAAGGGT